TATGTCCGATTCACACAAAAACGTCAGAATTACCATGTTTTGGATTGTTTTATTCATATTTCATTGTTAATCGCATCTTTATCATTTTGAATTATACTCTTTCTATAAGTGAAGTTTGTATGATGCACTCTGAATAAAACTATAAACTTAGAACATTTTATAATTCAACCTGGGACGAGTTAACCCTTTATGTGATGTTTCTACTATCCTGTATTGGTTACATAGAAGAGCTGGGGCATAGAGAGATTCAAAAGACCAGTTTCTGTAATACCCCGAGGCGCACTTGTATAATCTGACTGAGCTATGTAAGAGAGGCATATGCATGATCTTTGCTACTGTAGGTGGTGCGTCTGAACAGTTTAGCAGCAGTATTCGTGAATGATCCACTATCAGCGACAGCAGTAATGTCCTACCTTAATGGGTTGCTGTATCGGTCTAACTGCTATATGGCGTGTGATATTCCCACTTCACACGTTATTACTTGCAATGTTTGTGTAGATCATTACTCGCATTTGACCTCTCAGTTAAAATGACTGTTTCTAGTTTCATTTTTTCACAATACTTGTACGTCGCGCTCCATAACACATGCGCAGTAATCACCTTAATAAAAACAAATTGTGTGATTAGATTCTGTTCGCAATGATAAAAAACTAATTCAACGGGGATTTGAAGAAGCAGGTATCGTTGCTGCGTTACACCCAGAACGTCGACCTTTTATATTGGGACTCAAAAAATACTAAGTACATACTACTAATTTCCGTAATAATATATCAGTATCACTTTTATTTATTTTATCACATTTATTTATTGTCGTGGAAATAATGACCACAATGAATACGTTTATTTGTTTGTGTTAACTTACTTTTCAATAATGTGTATATATCTTGTCAGTACGTTTACAAAGTGTGTGTGGAGAAAAAGACGTTGTTTGGCCGCCATTTTGAATTTATAATGAAGTCATTAGCAACATCACAAATTAGCGAAACAGTTCTCTCGCTAAATTTGCTAAAAAGACATGCTTGCAAAAAAGACATGTTTTACAGTATTTAAAGTTAGCACATGTGCTTCCATTAAAGCAGATATACCATTTAAAAATATAACTGCAACCAATGATTAGGTTGGTTCTAAGTGACTATGGTTCAACAATTATAAATATTTCTATGAAATAATTATCTTATGACTTGATTTTGTTCATATATCATATATCATGTCAGACAACAACATTATAACACCAGTTGAATGTTCCTAACTCTACTTAGGATATTACAGTGCATATTATTGAGTTGAGGACACGTGACCATATATTGTTTTCTAAACATAAATCATATCACATTGATCTCAACTAAAAAAATATCGGGGTTGCGCATTATCTATGTAACATGTTTCATTAATATCTGTTGAGAAACAAATGAAAATGCTTAAATTTGGCTAATTATTATGGATGTTTATAAACGCAAAACATTAGATTATGTTAGATGATTGCAATGTCTTAGAGTATGTATGTACCTGTCTAAGATTCATTGAAATACGATAAGTACTTGAGATATTGATGGAAAAACTAAAAATATGCACAGATTTTAATGTGAAACTAATAATGGACATTGTCCTAGAGCATCAATGTACTATAACTCAATGATAACTCACCAAGGATAACTGAAATGTAGTGATTATTACTTGAAATATCAGTGGTAAAGCCAAAGAATTACTATTTATGCAAATAACGTAATTGATATACTTAGATATTAAGCCAAAACTTATCAGGTCTGTGCATTGTCCTATGACATTTATGTACAAAGTTTCGCTAACATTCATGGTTAACAACATTGTTCTTTAAATATCTGTCGAACAATCGTTGAACAGCTAATAAACATCCATGGATGTAAACCAAATATATTATCAGCTTCATCAGCGTTAGATCAATTTCCTACTTTTCCATCAAAGTCTGTAATGGCACAATCTGGAGTAACATCTTCTCCTAGTAAGATGTCAACATTATCGGTCAGACAACATCAAAACTGATACCTATAAATGTGTGTTATCAGAAAACAGATAGAAACAGATTAGAACCTTTGACAATAATGAAAATACTTGTAACATGTCCATATTAGTTATTAGTCTAGTATAAAGGTAAACATTTTTTAAATCTAAAATTGACTCAGTTTAACAATGTAACCGTGTTAAGACACGAATGTCAACAAAAATTAAATATGAAAAGCGTACGCTCAATTGACCTACTGTTAGGTCCGTGGTATACCTAACGCTGACACTGCCTTCACTGACGTATGGTACACTCATTAGTACTCTGATTAGCGTCGGTAAACATTTAATATCTTTATCTTGGTCACTATTCCATACTGGTATGTACTGTAATGTACTTGTAGTGTCATATCAACCTTTACTTACCTAATGTCGTCATGGTTATAATTGCTAAGCGTTGGACGACTTGATAGTGGCACTGATAAGAAAACATAACCGTGTTCACATTAAAAATCTCGGCACGTGTCGAAATCTGAAATACCAAAGCTATTAAATAAGTACTACAATTTCGTAATTTCGCACATCTTTTTCTAAACTCAGGTTATGGTTGTAATATTTTCTCAAGATATTCTCAATATTCAACTGCGAAGTTTTTCAAAATGAAAGTGTTGCTGATTAATACTCTCAACTGTGACCTTACTGCATGTGATATTCCCTACGGTGTCTTCCCAACGTATATATTAAACAATGACTTTATACGCGAGAACACAACATGGATACGTCTTACTAATACATCAATATTCAGACGATACGTTTTTGTATTTCTCTTTAATTAATATATAATCACAATAGTGCCTGCTGTTACGATTTAATTTTGAGATAAACGCAACATATAAGAAGCACATACATATATTATTTGCTTGTAAATAATTAGAAGGCAAACGTGTATGCACATAATAATTAATAGTTCGTGTGATTATAACTTGGGTTGCAAGACGATAGTTTTATTGTATCACAATCATTATCCAGTGCTCATAATAGCAAGTTATATCGAATAAACATACTAAACTATTTGAAATCAACCATTCTGCCTCGTATAACTTAATTTTAATTAAAACCACACATCATTACTTGTAAAATGTATTCAATAAAACACGATCTCTGAGATCAAGCACTGCTGTTATGACGTAATTTGGCGAAATGAAATCCACTCATGTTATCTATATTTCGTTTATCTGTGGTCGTTTACTAAAGATGAAAAA